TCCTGAACCAGGCTTGTGAGAAATCTTTTCTCCCCCCCCCCCCGCTGCGCGCCCCCATTTCAGTCTCCACAGAAGCAATGTTTACCCGGGAACCTCTTTAGCATGAGCCGGTGGGGAAAACTGATGCGTTTCCGTCAGGACTCTTTTCACTGTGACACCCACTCCTCCTCTTTCTCCTCCTCCTCCTCCACCTCCAGCTTACTGACCCCCCCCCGCAGGAAGATCTAGGTAGAAGCGCCCCCCCCGCTCCGAAACCCATCCTCTACACAGAGATCTTCCCTTCCTCCCTTCATGTTTCTTCTATTCCCCTTCCCTTCAGTCCCCCCCGCTTTTTCCCCCTTTTGGGACACTAGGAGCTGCTAATCAGCAAGTGATGCGGGGCGGGGGGGGGGCAGACATCCTGATCTGAGTCCCCACTATTGATTTGAAGGGGGGAGCTAGCTGGAAACTGGCACCTTTGGGCAGTTATCTCTGATTTGTCTACTTTGCTAACCCTAAAATGGGTGACTCCTTTTAAACTGACGTTTGGATGCCAGCTGCTCCAAAACCTAAGACGAATAACGGATCTGGACCTTCTCACCTATGCCAGGATGCATTGGCCTTACTCACTGTGCCTGCTGGATAGGTACCATCTATCCCTTACCATTTTTTCATACGCATCTCCAGTGCCTGTGCCTTGGGCAACTTTGCTGCTTCTTGGATTGGTACTTTGAGCTCAGACTGCTTCTGCTTGCCTGTCTGCTGTGCCAGAGTGGCATTCCTCAATTGTCTCTTCCTCCCTCTTCATGATAACATTGGACTGCGGCCACATTCTGCCAGTCACACCCCAATATGCACCCTAGATTTGTACTGCTAACTGTTTCCCTTGAATCTTTGCCACCTGGTGCCAACTAACAGAGCCCTCACAGTTTTCGGAAAACCTCTCCCGGACCGTCTCTTCCTCCTTGATGTTCCTGTGTACTCCCCACCACAATGGTAGCAAAAGGCATGCTCTGAGGCCAGGCGCATCTTGGCAGGAGACTGTGGTGTAGAAATGACAGCTGAGGTGGAGATTTGGGAACATCGCTTGAGCAGGGTAAGTTTTGGGCCAGGGTGTTGGGTTAACTGATTTTCCTGGGAGGTGGTGTGGATTGTGAAAGGATGTAGTATAGGTATTTGCCAAACTATTTCTGGGAATGTAATGCCAATGCTTAGGTTATCTGCATCTCTAAGGCTAGGAACGTGGAAAAGCTGTTGCATACGCTAATGAAAGGGTTGTGTTAGGTTGGCCAGATGAAGAAAAGGACAAGGTTTCTATATTTTAACTGTTGTGTGAAAGAAGGAATTTCAACAGATGTAATTTCCTCTGCTGACTTTTTCTGTTCCACATAATTTTTGAAGGTCCAGGGGTCCTGTTCCATATGGTTTATTACAGCAGTAGGTAACTCAGTTATCAGCTCTGAGGAACTTCCAGGCCCCTCTCAGAAAGCTAAACGTGCAAAAACAAACACAATCTGTAACGGAAAGTTACTAGAAGCCCATCAGAAATTGGTATTTTGAGTGTACTAAATGGTGCATTGGTGGTCCATAACATATTTGAAAGGTAAACCACCACTCATGGAGGTTTCCACGCGCTGCAATTTAATTTTTTTTTCCTCTGGAAAGAGTGGGCCAAGAGATGGGAGAGGTCTGTAGAAACATCTGAGGAGGGCATGTTGTTTACCTCTTGTCTATTGACTCCTCATTGCTTTCCCCATGCTGAACAGGGAGAGTTTTAGGGTTGTGGGTGGACCTAGTTGATACAGCGCAGCTCAGTTGATAGAGTTACCAAAAGTAACCCTATATTATCCACAAATGTTGGGATGCACCAAGACTTTTTGCCCACCCCACCAGGGCAATTCCCCTATATGTTTGCTTAGTGGCACCTGGAAAAGACCCTGATGCTGGGAAAGTGTGAAGGCAAGAGGAGAAGGGGACGACAGAGGCTGAGATGGTTGGACAGTGTCATTGAAGCTACCAGTATAAATTTGACCCAACTCCGGGAGGCAGTGGAAGACAGAAGGGCCTGGCGTGCTCTGGTCCATGGGGTCACGAAGAATCGAATACGACTAAGTGACTAAACGACAAATGGCACCCCTCACAGCATTTCCACCCTGGAACTGTGACCATACCGGGTTAATCCTTTTACCCATGATAGCTTATCTTGAGTGTCTCTATTTAAAGGACTATACCTCTATACACCAGACACTGGGGGTGAACTCTGGGGAAAACAGTGTTGCTCAATATCTGCTTTGTAAACTTCCTAGATGCTTTTGTCTGCCTTCAGATGGATAGTGTGGTACAATGGTTGGAGTCCTGGGCTGGGATACAGTATAGGAAACCTGGGCCTAAATTCTTTTTAGGCCATGAAAAACTCACTGGGTGACCTTGGGCTACTTGTGCTGCCTTAACTCGGCCAACCTCAGAAAGTTGTTGTGAGGTCAAAGTTGTGATGAGCAGAGCCAGGGCTGCTGCTTAATTGTCACTGGAGAAAAGCTAAGAGTCACATGTTATAAAGAAACAGGATGTTGGACCTGATGGTAGCCTATCACAAACTGAAGAAAAGAGGTAGTGCATAATCCCAGCCTCACCTTAGATACTACATTTGCTGCTCCAATCCAAATAGCTTTGGAGATAAAATGAAGAAAGTCCTCTTTCCACTGAAGCAGAACATGGAAAAAATATGGTTTTAGACTGCAACTCCCAAAATCCCCAGACAGCATGGCAGCATTAAAGGATTCTAAAAACGTGTCTATATCTAAAAACATAATTTCTTCAACCTCTGGTCTAAGATCAGGGGTTGTTAGAAATTTTGGACAAGCTGTCCCTGGGAATTAGCAAATATTTGGTTGCCAGTCCTGTTATTCCTTGAGGTCAACATATTTTCTCAACTCATCCCATTTCATCTTTTGAGGTTGGTGATCTATGTAATTCTCTATGTCTCCTTCTCTAGAGCAGGGGAAACACTGCCCAAAATCCTGTTGCTTAGTGTAGTGCATTGCACTAGAATAGGACCACTGATTAGATGGAGATTTGGTGAGTCAGTTCCTCCATATGTTTCATTGATTCATCTGGGCCTATTCTAACTGTGACTTACTTTAAAATAGTGAGGCACCTCTTCATGTTCAGCCCATGATATGCATTGAGTTTAGTGCTGAAAAAGTGAGAAATGAGTATATCTAATAAAACAAATCACTATTATTGCTAAATAAATGTGCCTAAAATCATAGCCTTAGATTGAATCCTCTGTACGCTTACCTGGAAATAAGACCTAATGAAAAAAGTAGCTCTTATTTCTAAGTAAACTTGTGTAGATAAAGCTACACATTTATTAATCAGAGAAGGCCAAGTGTAATTGCTATGGTGGCAAAGTAAGGAGGCACTTATTTATTTTGCAAGTGTAATTTGGATCTGCTGTGCTAGTGTAACAAGGGAGTGGGTAATAAAATACTGTAAATGCCTTCTAATGGGTTGTAGACTGTATTAAATTACAGGCTTCTCTTCAGTTTTTAAAAAGACACCTCTGTTGCAAGTTGTTAATGTGTTAATTTTATTTACACTGATTAATGGAATGATGAGGTGAATAATCAGCTACAATGCTTTAACTAGCAGCAACTTAACTGTAGTTTTGCACGTTGCCAGGGTAATATTAATTAGAATCTTCTATTGCTTTTGGCCAGTTAAAACATTTGCTTTCTTATTGTAGACTAGCCATTCCACCCCAAGGGAATACGCCTAAGGAGGGACTTATGGAGCTGCAGAGGCATTCAAAGTCTATTGGAGACCCCTACAGACCCCCAGAAACCTTGGAACAACCCTGTCGACAAGAACCCACAAATGATGTAGGACAGCCCATAAAGCTGGAGCTGGAAGATGAGGAAGGGGCAGTCCAAATGTCACCACCTAAACTCTCTCGTCCTCCAATGCCTTCTCCTGGCAGTGCCCTTCTGCAAGGTTTGAACGGGTTGCCAGGAGCAGGCAAGCGAGCTCACATTCCTGGAGGGACAGCATCGGACCTGGAACAAGGTGAGCCCTCCCACCTTGGGCGATACTTGTTGATTGACAGTCAGGGGCTGCCATATACTGTGCTGGTGGGGGAAGGTGTGGGGTCAGCAGAGGGCAATGAAGGCGGGAGTGGAGGGCCCTTGCGTAAGGTGTACAGCTGCCCTGTCTGTTCAAGGACATTTGAGTACCTGTCATACCTGCAACGCCACAGCATCACCCACTCGGAGAGCAAGCCACATGTCTGCCGGGCCTGTGGGAAAGCCTTCAAGCGCACCTCCCACTTGGAGCGCCACAAGTATACTCACTCAGGGCGGAAGCCTCACCAGTGTCCTATCTGCCAGCGCAGCTTCCGGGATTCTGGGGAGCTCTCGCACCATCAGCGGGTCCACACGGGCGAACGGCCCTACCAGTGCGAAGCTTGCCACATGCGGTTTGGTGAGCGCAACACCCTGCAGAGGCACATTCGCCGGAAACACCGCCTACAGCTCCTCCCTACGCCATAGAAACCAGGAACTTACGTTTCTGCTACTGAGAACTGGCATAAAGACCTTAAAGATCAGCCCGCCAGGCCCTGCTAGCATCCATGCATGCTTGTGGTCATCTCAGCCTGCGAAGTATCTGACCACATTTTATGGACTTGGTACTTTCACACCTGTCAGACCCTAACTGATCCAAGAAGAAATTAGGAATGGGGAACCTTTTGCCCAGCTATGCCACAAACTACCTGGCATGCGAAAACCAGCTTGCTATATCCCAGCATGGACACCTCTTGCCTTTCTCATGCCATTGGGGCCTGGTATAAATGCCCGGTCCTACCACCTTTTACAAAACTTAATCCCAAATCATGCCTGTCTGTACTGTCTTAAATCTGGCAGGGAGATTCTTTCTCTCTTGCTTTGTCTTCACCCTGGCCTGGTGACTATTAATCCCTCTAAGCCATCCACATCTAGCATGGACCAACGGGTGCCCATTGCTGCAACATAGAGCACAGCCCCGTGGCACCTTAATTTTGTCACTTTGTCCTGGGGAGGAGGCCTTTTTCTCATGTTCTGGCTACATGGTGGAGAAAATCCAATAGACCTTGCTCTGCACACAGGGCACAGAAATGTACTCGCTGTGTAAGCCAGAAGAACATGCTATCATTCAGACTTGCTATCCATAGCTGTTAATAATCCTCCTTCTCAGTTTGCAGATCTGGTGTTGAAATGTACCTGGTGCTAACCTAGAACCCTTCATCCCTTTTGTATATGCATTGATCCACAACACTACCTGGTTAGGTGGGCCTGATAGAGAAACTCGGGCATGTTCATTTAAGGGAGATCTGGTTTCTGAGCAAGATAACTTTTGGTTTTAACTGGTTTGGGGGCAGGAGGACTAATTAGGGCAGCTATGAGGATTACTTTCTTGTGTAGAGTTTTAAGACAGAATTGCAAAATGAATTTGGCAAAGGACTAACCTGTCCAGTGCAGCTGTCTCAGTGGGTAGTTTTGGATGTTAATTTGAAACCCGAGATCTTGTCTCAGTAACTCCTGGGCCCAAATTTATTCTCTGTTCCACTTTCTATGTCATAAACTATACAATACAATCCTTTTGGAAGGGATTGTCACTCTCAAATTGGCCTTCTCAGGCACACTAGACGCTGTTCCAAGACCTCCATACAGAGCACGTTTCCATAGTCTCTCGAGACTGAAGGATGTCTACTACTACAATCCTTTTACAAACATGGTGATAGGAGGCTAGAAATTGTATTTGAAACCAGAAGTTGGAAAAGTTTGGAATATAGCTCGCAGAATCCCACATCCAAGCTGGCTGAGATATTCTGGCAGTTCTGGGTGTGGTTTTTTTTAAAAAGAAAGCCAAAAAATAAAACAGATTTCCAAAGTGTTTTCTTTGTGGAGGAAGAAACTATACTACTTTCCTCAGCTTACAGGGGAGTTATGTCCCTTTATTTTTTGTTACAGTCACATTACTGTAGAATAGTAGAAGACAATGGGTTGCACTGAGGTTTAAAGACAGGATGTGTTTCATGGCATCTCTTTGACCCCTCATTACAAGTGGTGCTTCAGATGTTTCTGTTTTGTTTTTTAAGAAAATTGTAAAGCAGAAAGTGCGAGCACTGACATATGGGAAATATCTTCACTCTCAGGCTTTAATAGTCTCTTGCTTCCAAACTTTTCCAAGTTTTTCCAGTGAAAAAGTGTTGATGATTCTACATTCCTGCTGAAAGCTGCTGGTCCTGTTCATCCAGAACCCAGATTAGAGTGTAGGCCCACCTGCCTTGTTATCAGGCCTTCTAGTTTTGATTCTTGCTGCCCTTACGTTAGATTGTTGGAGTCATTCCCAACAGCATCCCAAAACTGTGGGTGAGGATCTATGGGCTTGTCGATTTAAACTGCATTTCTGTACCAAAATAAAATGTTGGCTTCAACCCCGACTTTCACACTATGAGGTATGCACGAAGAGTCTATTATGGTTTCATACAATATTTAAGAAACAGAGTATTTCTTTATTCCTTAACTGGGAATGGGTGAAGAGAAATATGCAGGAGAGATTGATATAAAGGCATGTGTTCTCAACTACCAGACAGACTGCTGGCATTTCCAAAGGTTGCCAGGGAGATCCCTGGATTATGTTTCCTCCACTTCATATTTAGTGTGGAATCCTAGATCTGTGTGTGTCGTCTTTTTTAAAAATATTAATTAAAAACTATTCTCTGTGTGTTTTGTTCATCTCTGTGCGCTACACAAATAAAGTAATGCTGTGTTACATCCATCTTGTAGATCTGTTGACAGGATGTACTTCCTTCTGCAGGAGTTTAGCATCAAGAAGGGTATCTATGGAGTACATGACTTTTAAAATATGCTGCAAGAGTCCTTTTCCCCCCAGGATGTTGGAAATCACTTGATTTCCTTGAGAGAATGTTACAAAGGGGGAAAGACAGATTTTTAGGTCAGTGGTAGAGCACATGCTTTGTGTGTAGAAACTCTTGGGCAGCGCCAGGTATAGTTGGAAAGGACTGAAACCCTGGACAGCCAATCCCACTCAGTATTTGCAGAACTCACCTTGATGGACCAAGGGTCCCACTTAGTATAAGGTAGTTTGTTGGAGGAAGAGGAGGAAGATGTACACAGAAGTCATACCATATTCTTTTTAAAAAAAATCTCTAAACATATCTCAAGAATCTGCTGGCTTACAGCTCAACATAAAACAAATTAGCAACATATATAGCATTTGTTTTGCACAAATATCCTGACTCTCAGGCCTTTTCCAAACCCAAACACTTGTGTTTTGTTTTATATAATTTTAAAAACACTAATATGATTATCTGCAGGTTGCAGAGTTTCACACAAACAAACACAAGTGAAGCATTTAAGAACGGTGTAAATTGGGACATGGGCATTTTTTTCCAAGCCTGGCTTATACATTTGGAAATATTTCACTGCAACCAAAATCTTGCTGAGGGAAAATTTTCGAAGGATGGGACTAGTGGAGGCATGAAAGCAGGCACATTTTGAAACCCAAAACCTGCCCTTTGAAAACAAGAAGAAGCAGGGGTGCAAAGCAGACAGACACTGATCCAGAAGAAGCATCCGGATACAGGTACAGGCTGTAGCCAGCTGCTCGGAAGGCAGTTCCAAGATGAGAGACAGATTCTTGCAGATGAGATTCAAGGATAGACAACTTGTTACCCTCCAGATACTTTAGACTACTGTTTCCATGTGTCCCAGCCTGCATAGCCAACCATCAAAGATCATGAAGTAAAAAACAAATGAACAAAAAACCCAAACATTTGGAGGACCTGAGGTTACATGCCCTTTTTAAAAAGGTATATGAACTTTCTAGAGAGAAACCCCTCTGGTGGAAAGCATAGCAGCCAATGGTGGGTGGAGCAAGGGATGAGAAACAGAATTGAGGCATAATGAAAATATCATGTGACCAGAAGATGAAATCTATGTAGTATAACTGTTGTCTCTGTTTTGTTGACATGGTAAATTGGTGGCTGCAGTCCTCTGGCCATCGGAATAAGCCGTTGAGCAGAGTGGCATTTATTTCTGAACACAACAGCCCTACATTTCCCAGTTTCAACATTGATATTCATTCTGTGACACAAACAGATAATTATTGGAATACTATTAACTGAACAAAAGTCAAACAAATATTGGGCATGAAACCTTCCACAAGAAAAAGAATGTAGGAAACAGGCTTACATATTTATTTAAAAAGGAAAGTGAATAGGGCTGGGAGGCGTTGCTGCTTGTTTCCCTAACATTCACCAGTAGATCTACCACTAGATTTTGGTGCTCTCTAAATTTGTGCGCAGGAGCAAAATCCCTGACCTAGATACATCCCCTGCCTGGTATCTTCTGTTGCAGTACAGTATCTCCTTTGAGAGTATATATTATCACGGTCATTAGTTTACAATATTTTTTGACTCGAGTTGTAAATTTACACGCTTATTATGAAAGCCACATAATACACAGAAGAAATGATGCCTCCTTGGCTAGAGTGATTCCCACACACACTCCTTTATAAGTTGTTTCTCATTTTTGGCAAGCTATATTCCCAGACTATCTGGAATTTACAGTCATTTAAACTATCTTTAGTTGCAGGCAGCATGAGGTTGAACTTTTCGGTGCCATTAAAAGCTGAAAGTGGCATCTTTAATTGGAGGACTACGCAACATGGTTTGTGAGATACAGATCTTTGCTCACTGTTTTTGTTTGTTTTTGTTACCAAGCAGCACTTTCGGTGTCATCAAGTGTTGTAAATTACCGTCCTAATTTGTCGTGATTTGTTTGTTCTTCCTGTAACTTATATCGGAAGGAAACCGATGACTTAACAGAATTAACATCTCTGCAAGGTGATCTGTGTCGAATTGTAATTCCCCCAACTTCATACGTAGCTGTGTCTTTAAAATCGAAGTTTCCTTTTTGACGGCAGTAAAAAAAAGGAACCAGTCTCCTAGTTGCCTTTAATTTCCTTTTCGGTAGCAGTTAAAGGGGAAGTGTCTATTAGGGAAGAGAATGGGCAGAAAGAAGAGGAGGAGGAGGGGGAGGGGAGAGTTCTCCAATTGCTCCTTCCCTGTTTGAAGGAAGCCGAAAGTTGAAAAAGGACCGGTGGGGCAGTGAAATTTTCTTGATGTCAAACTGGATGGAACAGGTACAGTTGAGGATCGATTCTGGAGGACGAAAATGGACCGTGGGGTTGAGGTCTGGATGCAATCCTCCCATGCTCCGGCGATGAGTCTGGACTTGCATCCCAAGTAAGGGACAAAGAAAGCGAAGTGAACCAGGAGTCGCGGGGCAGACTTGCGGGAGGAAGGTCAGATATATGAATCAGCTCCCCGCCGTGCATTTGATCCCTCCAGCCCTGTTGCAATGCCCGCTCAGCATCGGGCTATTGTTCTCTCTGTGTCTCTCTCTCTCTGGTTCCACTAAAGAGCAAGACTTCAAGGAATGGCCAACGGATGTGATATATTCGAGGGGCCCGGAGAAGAACAAGAGGAAAACGGACTGGCTCCACGTGGCTGATGGTAGCCGGGACGACTGGGTTCTTTCTAGAAGCGGTTGGGGGCGGGGGTGCTAATGAGTTTGGGATACCCAGATCTGGTGCTAATGAGGTTGGGATACCCAGATCTGGTGCTAATGAGATTGGGATACCCAGATCTGGAAGCTGCCTCTGCTGGGTGGCGAGACTTAAAAGCCTGCAAGGGAACGAAGAGCTAGGAGGGTGCTTGGGTTTCCTGGAGTGGGAGAAGTTGACCTGAGCTACGACATGGGTTTCGGGGGGATCCGCTCAAAGGAGCGCGGAGCCCTGTAAATTAAGAGCTGGGTTTGGGGGAGAGTTTAAGGTGCATGGATTAAGAATAGATTTGCTAGGCCAGCCTGAAATGGCATCTCCTTCAATGGATTTTTTTTTTTGGTCCTTACAAACAGGGACTGGTAAAGATGACGGTTTACCACCTTGTTGGAACACAGTAAGCAGTGGTGTAGCAGAGCCAGGACTTATAGGGTTAAAACACAGGGACCTCTGTACTTAGCTTAAAATGCCACAATATTTGAGAGAGAAATGGATTTATCCAGGATCAGTATATTGCTGCAAGCTATCTGTTGTAAGGTGAAGTAATTGAAGATGGTTTGGTTTTGAGTGGTCAATTAAGAACCATTAGGTTTACAAAAGACCTGTTCATTTGTTGATATGGACTGAGCCAGTTGCTGGCATTTTTTGTACTTTCCCTTCGAGGAGGTGGCTATATAGGGACTGTTATTATGAGTACACGCACATCCACATTTGTCGCTGACAATGAGGTCTGGTAGTTCTGCAGAACAGGACTGGGAGAGGTATTGGGAAAGGAACTCCATGTATATGTATAGAAGAAACAGAAATATATTACTGGGTTTGGGAGGGTAGGGATGGGAAGAGTTTTGCTGGGGAGCAGAGAAGGTGCCACTGAATAATGCAGAACCGCTGAGCCTTGTAGCTGGGAGAAGACTAGATAGGTTCTCTGTGATGGTCAGACATCCACTGGAGATATGTAGAAGGGGTATCTACTGTACATGTCTGGGTGCAAAGTAAGGCCCATGATATGAATATCACGCAGGACTGATGTTTTAAACCTAGCCTACCTGATGGATGTGATAAATTACTATTTAAGATACTGTAGATAGGTAATGTGTGGCTCTGCTGATATTATTGGACTGCTTGTCCCCATTAGTCCTTGTTAGTCTGCAGTGATGAGGGATAATGGGAACTGCACCCCACTCTAGCCTCCTAGAGTGGTCATCTGACCAGATAGGTGGGGTAAAATACAATCAATCAATCAATTAATCAATAATAAATATTCTTGGGTGGTCACAAATTACTCATCCCTTTATGAAAGGCATTTATGCCCTCATATAACATGAAACATTTTAAAAAGTTCTCTTACAGCTCCATCTTAGCATTAAAATAGCTCTATGTAAGCACTGCAGGAAGCTTTTTAAAAACCATTTTTTTACCATCATGTAAACTTTAAGTAGTGCACACCCACCCACAAATCATTATTGAGGGCATCACACAGATTTTCTTGCTCAGGTCTATCTCTTCTAACAACAACCCCCTTCATTTCTCAGAGGTTTTAACTGATGTTCTTTGCTTTTGGGTTATTCTTCACTGGTGATCTTAATTTTCTTAGATTGATTATTGTTAGGTGCCTGGAGCATCTTCAGGCAGAAAGGCTGGGCATATATTTATTTAAATGAATATAAATAGTGTACAGAGGGGAAATTATTTGAAATTCACACTTCACTGTTTTAATCAGAGTATATGCTAGATCTCTCCTTCTATCAGCCTCCCAAGAGTAAGAAGTAAGGACCCCAAGATTCTTTCTTCCCCTGTAACTTAAGCACTGGCTACTGGGTTTTATGCCACTTTACCTACTCCCAACTGTTTACCCTGTTCTGGTTTCTACAGGGGAAGATGCTGTGAGCTGGAGCTGCCGATGGATGTCCAATTGGTTACGGTGAAGGAAGAGTCAGGGCCGGTCACACCTGCTGTCTGCCACCTGTGCCAGGAGGACCTGCCACTCATTGATGGTCCCCAAGGACAGGTTCCACAATGCCAGAGGTGCAAAAGCTTCCCTTTAGAGTCTCAGAGTTGGTTGCCTGGCAACCCAGATATCCTGGTCCATCTCTCTGAGAGGCCCTACTGCTGTTCTTTCTGTCCCAAACGCTTTAAGAGGGCCTCAGATCGGCGTGACCATGAGCGAGTGCATACAGGTGAAAGACCATATGGTTGTGGCATCTGTGGCAAGCGGTTTACTCAGAGTTCGGTGTTATCTGGCCACATGCGTATTCACACTGGGGAGCGTCCCTTCCACTGTGGAGTCTGTCTGAAGTCTTTCAACAACGGCTCAAACTTCCGCAAGCACCAACGCATCCATGGCCATCCACTTGGTTGCAATGACAAGGGAAATCATGGGAAAGACACTGACTTTCTTCCTGGGAAAAAACAAAATCAAGTGGCAGAGGGACAAAATGGCTGCCATCTACATGGCAACATTTTCTGTAGGCAAAATGGCCGCCCAGTTGCCAAAGAACCGAAGCCCAGTGAGAACCAAAGAAGTCAAGACTCTAAAAGGAGGCCGAATAGTCCTTGTGGGGATAGAATACACCAAGATGGTAGCTGCAGTAATGGCTTAAGACATCATTGTGATAATGCAGAACATTTTAAAAGAATGGACCTAAAGTGGAATCATGCTAATTGCTGTGATGACCTTCATGTGAGGCAAAGTAGTCATGGAAGTATCAATGTTAAGGATCTGAAGCAGGCAGTAAATTGTGAAGGACATGTTGGTAGCCTGGGAAAAAATGACTGCTTTTTTGGCCCAGAGATTTTTGGAAATGGTCACTGCTTTCGACGAGTGAAGTATGTGAGTGGTGAATATTACACTAAAGTCCGGAGGCAAAATAGGGTAGGGGAAAGCCACACTGAGGGAGAAATGAAGCAACCTGTTGAAAGTCAGGATAGAAAGTTACAACTGGATGATAACAGCTATGGGAAAGGTCATTTGCTAGTTGGTGGCAATGGGACCTCTATTCACAAACAGAGTCAGGAGGGTAGAGTCAAGGGCTATTTAGTAAGGAGGCCTAATGGAGGTTTATTCAAAGGGTTGAAGCAAAACAGCAAGGAAAGTGTTGGTTCCCATCTGAGGCAGAATGATAGAGAAGGAAGCCCTTTCAGTGGACTGAATCCAGGCACCTTAGAAGTGAGACAAAATGGCAGTCTCAGAGATGCTGCCAATGGCCTGAGACAGAATGGCACCACTTACTTGGGAGAGGTGAGGCAAGATAGCAGCACCAGCAAGGAGAAGGAGGTGGAGTTTCAAGCAAGCGTTCCAGAGAAGATGAACAATTTCCAGCCAAAAATGTCTTCCTTGACTTGCCCAGAAGGAAGTACTGTTTTAGCTTGGAAACGGCCCAGTATGGGTATAATGAAAGAAAAGGTTGAATTGGAAGGATGTTCTCCCTTAGACTTGCCTACCAATGTATCTCTCTGGGAACTGGAGACCCCTGAGCCATATTCCTTGCCTTACAATATTTCTATGTCCCCTAGACACCACTCCTTGCAGGACCAGTTTGGAAGTATCTCTCAAGACTGGGAAGAAGTGAACCCAACACCATGCTTTCCTTTCCATGAACCTGAGCCCTGGGATCAGCATTCCCCCTCAGCGGCTGATTCTAAGCCCTTCCTGTGCTTTGCATGCCCCAAGCAGTTTCGTCGTGCCACAGATCTGAAGGAGCATTTGCGGGTGCACACAGGAGAAAGGCCCTTTGGCTGTGGGGTATGTGGAAAGCGGTTCACTCAGAGCTCAGCCTTAACCACTCACCGGAGACTGCACACTGGGGAAAAGCCCTTTGAATGTGGTGTGTGCTGCCGACGTTTCAATAATTCTTCCAACTTTGCCAAGCATCGCCGGCTTCATGGGCAAGAGGGTGTGAGACGTGGTGGTAAAGTAGCAGAGAAAGAACAATGGTGTGTCAAACCACATTAATTTTTTCCCCCTAGGAAGAATTCCTTCTTTGTGAGATGAAAAACTGTAAATATGGGCTAAGCTCAGGATACTATTCCACTACTGATTGCTGAATTCAGTGTCTTGGCCTTGTTTAGAAAACAGCATGTTTCTATACTCTGTGTGGTCTGGTGTTTCATGAGGAAGCCTCAGATTCATGTGCTCCTTTCTTGTCCAGCTTTTCCTGGTTCTTGTCAAAGACTGAAAACCATACTTGGAGACCATACAGAATCACTGTTTCAGCTTCCAGTTTGTGGGTAGACGATGGTTTGTACTATTTGTTGTTTGCCAAGAACCAAGGAAGTATGGGAGAAATGTGGAGCTTGCAGGAAGAGAAGGAAGTAGGAAAGTCTGAGATGCATTTGTGTAACACGAGTTCATGATGTGCAGGATGTTTGAATTGAGCCATAACCTTTGCAGAGAGAATGCTGTTGTTGTTTGCTTTGGATTGCTTGTTAACCAAGTAAGTTCTTTTTCAGCTTGGTATTACATCTGAACGAAGCCAACAAGGAGAGACCTGCAAACATATGGCTAGATACCCGGTAGATACCTAGTAGGGTTACTACTAAAAAAGGGCACAACATGAAGTTGAGCAGAATGTTGAGGTCAAAATCCTGTTGGGAAAAGCTATGTGCATAAAGGTGGCTGTACAAGTGGTTTACTCCATTTAGTAGTCTGTTGTGTGACCAGCTGCACATTGGATATGAAATCAGTCATGGAAAGGACAGCCTGTCAAAGGAAAAGAAACTTCTCACAGTTTTTGCACAGTTTTTCCCAACAGGCTTCTGGCTCTAGTGGTCAGTCTTAAATAGATGTTTAGAAAATTGTGCTCTTAGATACCAAGACTTGGCTTTGTTCACACAGAATTGGTTCTTCTTAACAGACTATGCATAGGTGTCTACACCCTATCCACCACTAACAGAATAAAAATATCATAAGCAAGTTACCAACACATCTGTCTAATGTGTATAATTTCCCAGTTGTTAGACGTTAGGTAGTTTTCGCTTCAGTACTGCACTTGCTTACCTTAGTATGAATTACTTGGTTAGATCTGTATAGGATCGTGTTCTACTCTGTACTATTGCCACAGAGCTGGATCTTTTTAACAGTATATGCATAGTATAACTTGTTGCAGCCACTCTCCACAGGTTTTAACTGTCCCCATCCCTCCCCTGCTGTAAAATTTTTATTTTTTTCTTTGAAATCCATTTTGCAGAATTGAATACTTATGTTCTGTCAAGTTAATTCCAACTTATAGTTTTCTGGGTAGAAAGTACTCAGAACTGGTTTACCAGACCCTCCTTTGGTTGGCATTTTGGGACCCTGCAGCTTGCACAAGGCCACACAGGTGGCACCCACAGACACTCCAGGTGTTCTTATCAAGGCCTCTCCGATGGGACACAGAGGTGATTTGAGCATCTGGTCCCCAGATGGTCTAACCCACTGAGTTATACATTAGTCTCGTTTAGTGGAGGCTGTAGTAAAGAAAAAAAATATTCTGGACAAAATCTCAATGTTTTTGATAAACTTCCCCGCAGATTCTAGTGAAGTTTGTTATAAGCCTAAGGAGGAAATTTTGTAGAAATCATATTACATGAACCACATAAACTCTCTAAAGCTAATTTGTTTTACTAATGTATTTCCATTAAACAGCCTAAGTATCCCACTGACATCTACTTTTCATCCTGTTTATAAATTTTGGCACAAGACAGGTGTAAATGATAACAAGTAGATTTGAGCCGGATGCTTAAGTTGTTTAGTCGAAATATAAAAATACCCTTATGTAACTTCTAGGTTTTGGTTTCTTAGATTTAAGCATTTTCTTATTGGCATTTCTCTTTGTATATTTTTTAAAATATAAACTGTTCAAGAGCTGTATGGTTTTCTCCAGAAGGGGATTTTCTTGAACATTTTCATATACAGCATAAATGGATATTGCTAGGGAATCTGGGTTTTCAGAACACTGCTTCACACCTCTGGCTTCAATCTGCATTTTCATCCTCCCCCCCCCAGTACCTTGTTATTTAGATGCATGGTCTATTGGCAAAGGAAGATCAACAGGTAGATACTTTTAAAATGGATCATCACATAAATTTCTGTTCTGCATGGGAACAAGCTATGCAAGGGAACTATATAATGAGAATTTATATTAATCCCATCCTCCAGGGATGGAGTTTGAGTAAAGAACCAAGAACCAAACACAATGGCTGTGTTCTATGTATTGCTACCCTCCTCCAGTTGCCCAGAGTACACCAAAAAGAACAAAGGAAAAGTTAGCTCAGCAGTGGAGCATAGGCTTAGTCAGCACAAAGTCTTGAGTTTTACCAAAGGCATCTCCAGTTACATAGATGCACGGGAGTTACTGCCAGTCACAGCAGGGCATTGGACTAAATCTGTGGCAATCAAAATGTGGCTCTGCAAATGTTGTTGGACTACAGCTCTCATCATCTCTAGCCAATGGGGAAGAATACATAGAGTTGCAGTTCAACGACAGGAGGGCTGCTGTTTGGCCATCCCTGAGCCAAATGGCCAAGTACTCCAGCCTGGCGTAAGTCCATGTTCACTATGACATCATGAAATGGAGTGAAGACTTCTCAAAAAAAACCCTTCCTCTTCTCTGGTTGAAAAAACATTGTTCCAGTATTCACTGATTGGCTGGTCTTGGATTACATATGTTCCCTCCCCCTTAATTTCTGAGAAGAACCAAACAACAAAGTATTTGTCTTGCCATGTAGATTCTTTTCTCTGTGTTGTCTTAAAATTTCATGAGCAACAGTTGGAAATTACAGTCTGAAATTGTAACTGTGTGTTTTGAGTATCTGCAAAATTTTGCTTGTGCTGGTTCCATGAGGTTATTCCCATTCCAGTTCCAACCACTTGGATTACACCTTCACTCTGGTGTGCTTCAGATTATTGCTTCTAGGCTTGCCTCCCAACATTTTCCTCCTTTTCTGCTAATTAAATTCCACCGTATCTCTCCCAGATTGTCCATCTCTTAATATCTAATATGGCACATAGTTAAACCAGGAACCTAGTGTTCTAGGTACTCAAGGTGGCTCTCTATGTAGAGCTCTGACTGACTCAGGGAAAGAGGGGACAGCTATGGAAGAGCAATAAAAGCTCTCCCCTCAGTAAAAGACACTGTTCACAATACTGGCCCTGCAGATTCACCTTGATTTCCTTCCAGGCTTGGGTATAGAGAAACTTTTTGCTTCAGTTCTTCTGATAAGCACACACACATCAACTAACCAACCATTCTCAGGCCCAACTTCAAGGTCTACTATAAAGTCACCTGGGTCCTAAAAATATCGTAAGTCCTGTTCAATTACTCTAAATACCTGGTCTCATAATGGAAAGCTCCCCTCATGCCAGGATAGGAATCAAGCTAGGGAGGGGGGAAGCTTGGTGAAAGGGAAGTATTGCGTCCTCTCAATAAAGTGTTGGCCTTCACTTGTATACCTCATTATAAGATTTTTAAAAATTGGGGGGAAAATGTAAGTTGGGTGCTGACTTCATTTTCTCCAGGATTTCTTTTCTTCATGGGAGGGGCGTAGATCCAAGGGCAGGCAATTTGCTTGTAAGCTTCCTGACAGAACACAATAAGCAAACCTACTCGCGTCCAATGTATGGCACATACATTGTCCAATCCTTTTTTTTAATATTTGTTTAATCTGTACATTGTCAATCAGACACTTTTAAAACAACTGCTTAGTTTAAAACACAAAACACACTTCCCCTTCCCCCACCCAGACTAAGAAAAACACACGCTGTACAGTTCCCAAGGGGTACAATAAGGGAGGATGGGGCAGGTTATCAATCTGGACCCATTGGCTGCATGGAAAATGAAAGGGTCTCATACATATTTTAGTACATGTTAACATAAGGATTTGAATCTTGGCACCAAAAGAACTACATTTTCCATATTCTGTTGCCAATGGGAGAAAAGGGTAGTTAGAAAAGAAGTATTTATATATAAATGTACGTATTTATATATTTGTATTAATATAAAAAGTCTTTGCCTAACATGATTGCAATGGGTTGGGTCCTATCGGTGGTGTGACTCATCATTAAGAGTTTATACAATGGTCACTGGTCTGCGGATGTTTGAGTCCTATCTCAAAAATGTCTGTCTCCCAGTTTGAAAGTGTAGGGATGGGGGAAGAGAATAGGAAAACATCAATTACAGTTAGAACAACAGAATTCATGTTTCCCAATAACAGGAGAGCTGAAGAAGTTCTGAGAAGGTAGTTTCATGTCTTTTGGCCATCTTAAAAAGATGATTCTAGTACTAGGAAATGATGAAGTATCATCCCTCCCCCTGCTTCACAATTCCAGTACCCAACAGGCATTAGTCTTGGTGGAGATATGTAGCACATCCAGCATCTTAGTGGTCTGCACCTGATGGCTGAGAATCCATCCAAAATGAGAGGAGGCAGTGCAGTGGGAAAGATAGTTGTCAACTCATGGCTGTATACTCCAAACCAACATCATCTTCCAAAGAATTTCCACTGCCCAATCAGAATGAAAACTCAAGACTACCCATCTCTTCAATCTACTAGTTCCTCCCTCACATCCTTTCTACAGAAATCAAGCCAAGGAACCTCTTACGCTCAAATCCACACCACTTCCTTAACTCCTCCAGATAAATCAGAGCATGAGTTGCTGGCTTCTTTTCCAGCATCTCCCCCATAAAAGTGACATATTTCATAGGCGAATGATAATTTCTTACTACTGCTAGTAAAACCCAACCAAAAAAAGAGGACAAAAAGAATGGGCAAATGTCAACTGTCAAGATGAGCCCTTGGTAACAATTATGCTATGCCTGCTCTTTGACATTAAATAAGTGACTGAACAAGGCAGACATTTTTCACTCCCAGCTCCCTTACTTTATTTGTAATTGTGCACTACAGGGGTATGTGAGGCAGATCCCCTTCTGTCACTTTCCAAGTATTCCGACTGTAAATCCCGAAAAGTGACTAAATGGTGTTAGATAACTAACTTCTCTTAAGTGGAACCTATTTTTTTAAAAAGCACACCACAGAAGAAGAGTCAAGACTATATTGCTCATCTACTGGAATCAAACCACCAAGGTGAATTGATAAGGAAGGCCTGGCTGAATATATTAGTATCAATTTTGTGATTTAAGCAGGAATTTCAGTCATAACTAATCACACAATTTGTTTCCCACACTCTAGGCTTGGAAATTGTTCTCAAAGAGGTTCCTTTAAAAATTCCATATTTGACCAAAATAATAGGCATTTACATATTTTGGAACAAATTACCAGAATCCGGTCCATTTTACAATCGGCATAATGTTTTGTGTCAAACTGATGTGAAATAAGATGATAGCATGGATATTTCCTTTAATAACAAGCTGTGTGACTTGCTATGCAGGAAGAAACACCCAAGTGAATGTTTTAACTTGCAGCAATTAGCCACTGAAAAATTATGCTAATGAAGTTACGCCAGCATAAATGTACAACTAGATTCTGACAGTTTTCTCTTAGGTAATCTGAGAAAGCCTGGAAGTTTTTTTTTCTCCCCTCATATTCCATTGTCCCTTTGGGATGCTACAATTAAGCAGTTCACATTTTCTACTAATTAGTAAGGTAGAACCCATTTGTCCTCCAGGTTAAAAAAATGGATCATATAAACAAATAAACCTTAAGTAGAGGAACAGGTTAGCGGTTTTGTGGCTCCCACACTTCTTATAACAGTATTTTTTAGAAGCAACACTCAACTAAATGTAAAAGCAGCTGGCACAACAAAGCAAGTAGTATAAAACAAGGTCTGGTATATTAATAAAGGCAAAGACCTAATTGTGAATTCAGCTCTACTTGTAAAATCAGGTAAGAAATATTCTATGTGGGGAAAAAAATCCTGTTCCCATATAAGGCAAGCAGAAGTATAACCACCACAAAAGGAAGAATCCACTGAATTTCAGCTACAGATCCAGGGCCTTTACAAGTAAAGTGGGAAAAGGAACATCTACTATCAGCCACTTTTGGAGGCAGGAAATAATCAGTAGTATTTTAGTCAGTTAGAGACATAAATCTAACTCAACCTGACAATTGTCCTCAAGTTGACCCAACTTTGCGGTGAGGCAAAGATTAGAAAATATAATTTGTAGCCGCCTTCCCATCTCATTATTCTTCATACTCTCCACCACATATCTAGCCACCTTATAAACCTCTGGACCACCAAGTGCAGGGATGTTGCCTTTAATGAACATCATTAGCTAGTGGGCCTGTTTCTATCAATCCTCCACCCACCAAACAAGCCTGCAACTTTTGCAATGTCCTCTTTTCTCTCTTCTTCCAAGCACTGGTCAAACACCTTGGAATAAAACTGTACCTTTGGGTTTTCATTGTTTTGGATTGATGCTCATCAAGCTAGGAACCATGGATGTGGAGCTAGGGGTGGTAGACCAAGAATGTCAAGACGGCATCTTTGGCTACTTGAAAAATAATTGAGATGCTAACCTTATCAAAAATGGAAAATTGACAATGTCTTCCCATCACAACCATCTCTAATATATAGATCATCCTGGACAACCAAGTTTTTTGCAGTAGAGAAGAGATGTCAAATCACCTGCATGGGGTCTACTGTCTACAAGGGAAAACACTTTCAGAATTCTTTGGTTGCATATACTAACCCAGTTCCCCCTCCACCTTGTTCAGATATGCTCTATAGCCTATGTAATTTGTTCCAGTGTGGAAAGGGCAGATAGGGAGCGTGGAGGAGGTGTGCGAGAAAGCTGGAAGGTTTGCAAGGACCTTTTTGATCATATCGTATCCTTCCCACATAGGGAGTTACAAGGACCCCAAAGAAAACTGAGGACAATGATGTTAACACAGGATATGCCATTCTCAGTCAAATTAGCTAGTACTTAATCTGATCCTGGGGAGATACAATGTCTTGCAAAGAGAGGTCTGTGGTTCAAACCAAGGAAAGCCAGTTCAATGTGCAGGGCAACCAATGCCAGTCACATACTGGCCCAGAAAGTCAAACCACCAGTCTTCTTTCCTCTTGCTTCCCACTGAGGCTTGACGTGAGGAAGAGAAGGCGGTAACACAAACAAGTGGAACTGACCTGGGAATAGATGACAACCTAATCACAGGTCCCATTCCAGATCTGACCCATGCCTCCCTCACAACAAGCTGTTACTATTGGGGGTGCACCTACATGATGACAATGACATTTTGGATTAGAAAAAAAAATTCTAGCATCCTAGATTACAGAAGAGATATCATGGGCTAACCCAAGGTGTAGGCCGCAGAGGATAGCCAATGTGCTTCCATATTTCCTGCCTACTGTCTGAAGTCGAATTCAAATATTTGGAAACAAGATATGACCAGCCCCGAGGAGCTAAAACCACTTTAGGATGCCTATGAGTAAATGACATGTCCAAATGCTCTATTAGTATTATGTATGTAGAAATTTAAGAGGTCAGGATTAGAAACTGCTCTTGAAGTTAGGCTGGGAATTGCTTGTTTGTATGAGCAGAGTGAGGTCCCCCCCCTCTTTATCTTCTTTTTCAAGTGAGGAAGCATTCACATTTCTCATTCTTCAACTGCATCATGAACCGGTACTGTCTGGGAGGCAGAAAGAAAGGTAAAGGTTTTATGGTACAGAAGCATCTATGCCATTACTGTAACCATATGCTGGATCACAGTTCAAGCAGGCTCTTCTAATTTACTATTCAGATCATGCGTGAAATTGTCTTCTATTAGTAGGCATGTCCCGCTAGGTTTTTAAAAGATGAAAACTAGTCTATTTCCTTTATAAATGTGAATAAAACACACAAAATAATGTCTCCCCGGCTCCCAAAAGGAAGCAAGGCCCATAAGGCATAGATCAGGTGGCTGAGTATGCAGAAAAGTCTGGTGAACACTTCTAGAGAACTGTATCGTGTCCTTTCCTATCCTGTCCCCAAGTGTATGAACTGGTTCTATGTTCCATTCCAAATACTGAGTAGTACAGGAAACTCCATCTTTTCTTGCAATTAGGAGCCTAATTAGTTTCTGTTCCATTTCAATATGCTGGCTCTGAACAGAAACACTGCTATTCTACTAAGAACAATGAGTAACTTGGTTCCTACTGTTTGAAAAAAGCAAGAAACTTCCATCCCTGACACCACATTTATGTTTGGTAGTCCTTTGGCAACCATCTCTCCCACCACTTGAGACTAGGAAATCTAGGAAATGCCAGAACAATACCTATTGATTATGGGGAACAGAGATCCAGCAAGTTATTTGATAGCCACATCTTCTAACTTAAGCCCCTCCTGGCATTTCATCCCTGGTTGTTCACAGCTTGTCCCACCATGCACTTCTGATTTGATGATTCTTCCCAAATCCATTCCCCAAGGGTAGCATTTCACTGCCAACAAGCACATCTTGTCTACTATTTATGGAGCCTCCCCTGCCTTTATGGCTTGGAACAGCTTAGAACTAGCCTCATTTCCCCACGCTAGAGTCAAAAGAAGGGCCACCCGTATTCTCTGCTGCTAATCCCCACACTAGGGTTGTTCCTTGTGGGCTCCCATGGCAGCATAGCGCTCCATCTTGTGGATGTGGCGGTGCTTCTTCAGACCGTAGGTGTTGGAGAAGGCTTCTCCGCAGGTGCTGCACTTGAATGGTCTTCCACCTTGGTGGGCCTGGAGGTGTTTACTGAAATACTTGGGATCTTTGAAAAGCTTGAGGCAGGCTCCACATCTCAACTCGCGCTTAGCATCATGGGAACGTTGATGGCGAAGGATGGATGACAGGTAGAAGAAACTCTTAGAACAACGGTCACAGCGATAGACCTTCTCACCCAAGTGGACCCGCTGGTGCTCCAGAAGGTTGCTGCGATAGCGGAAAGTCTTGCCACAAGTCGGACAGCGCTGGGGCCGGGCAACAACGTGAAGACGCTGATGCTCAGCTAGGCTTGAGGACTGAGCAAAGCGCTTGTTGCAGAGGGCACATTTGTATGCACGCTCGCCAGTGTGCACAACTTTGTGTTGCCGCAAGTACCATGAACGCAGGAAACCACGCCCACAGACAGTACAACGGTATGGGCGCTCCTCTGTGTGACAGCGTTGGTGGCGCATGAGGAGAGCAGCCTCCCAGAAACGCTTGCCACAGACTGGACAGGAGAAATGGCGCTTCTGCAGGTGGGTGCGCCGATGCAACAGAAGGTCATAGGCCCCTGCAAAACTCTGTCCACAGACCGAACAGGCCAATGTGCGACGCACCAGGTGTACATACTTGTGGGTCACAAGCCCCAAGAAATGCTTGAAGGTTTGGCCACAGATGGAGCAGGAGAAGCGTTCCCCACTTGGCAAGGTAGGGTGGTGATCCTCAAAAGATGTCACGTTGTCACCACTGGCCAGCCCATTCTCCAATGGGGCTACTGCAGCTGCTGTTTCATCTGGAGGCATAAGCCGCTCAGGAGCAGCCTGATGGACCAGTTTGTGCCACATGAGATTCTCAATGAAGCCAAAGCACTTACCACAGACATCACAAGGGTATGGCTTCTCAGCCACGTGGACCTCCTTGTGGCTCATGACATGAAAGAGGTCAGGAAAGCGCTCTCCACAGTCAGAACAGCCATACGTTAACCCCTCAGGAGGTGGGGGCAGAGAAGGCCCCATGGGGGTGAGAGAGGGCCCCATGGGTGGTAAAGAGCAAGGTAGTTGGAGCCGGTGGATCTGTTTGTGGCGAGTTAAGCTTTGCGGGTAACCAAAAACCTTCCCACATATCTCACATTTGTAGGGCCTCTCTCGAGTGTGCACTACATGGTGCTTGCTGAGATGGAAAGATTCACGGAAGCGCTTCCCACACACTGCACACTGGTGAGGCTTTTCACCAGTGTGGATACGTTCATGCCTCTTGAGCGTCTCCCGGCGTCCAAAGCCACGTCCACAGATCCCACAACAGAAATTTTTGCCTGTTGCTGTTCCCACCAGCAGTGGGTGGGCACCCAAGAGTCCATACGATGTTGGCTTAGTGTCTCCGTCTGAGCTGGTAGCCTGTGGGTCTTGTGGAAGGAGATAAGCCCCTGGGGGCAAGTAGGACAAGGGATTGGTGCCATCCTTAGGCAACTGGGCTCCCTCGTGTTGCAGCTGCCGATGGCGCAACAGATTCTGGGGAGCCACATAGCCCTTACCACAGATGTCACACTTGTACTCAGGGCGAGGAGGTAAAGTTCCCGGAGGTGCATGGGTTGCCTGGTGTTTAAGCAGGTAGGAAGCATCCCGGAATTCTTTGCCACATACTCCACACTGCACTCGCAACAGATCTGAGTGTGTCCGGATGTGCCGTTTCAAACTCTCCCGTCGGTTGAAGCTCTTCTGGCAGACAGAGCATGAGAATGGCTTTTCACCAGTATGGATGATCTGGTGCTGATGGAGGTGGCTGGGCTTTTTGAATACCTTCCAGCAGAGAGAACAAGTGAAAGGGCCTTCAGCTTGAGCTATGGCAGCACTAAGAGCAGATGCTGTCGTCCCACCACCTGCTGGCGCTGGTACCACTTGGGGGTTGCTGCTTTGGGTGGGAGGCTGGGATGCTCCCTCGCCACCTGTAGCAGCAGCTGTGTTGGCAGCAGCAACAGCAGCAGCAGCTGCAGCTGCTGCTGCATTGGCAGCGGCCACATTGGCGGCGGCTGCATTGGCAGCAGCTGTGGCATCCTCAGTGTCTTTGTGGCAACGGCGATGCCGGATAAGACTGGAGATGTGGTTGTAGGTACGCCCACAAGTGGTGCATTCATATGGACGCTCACCTGTGTGAACCAACATGTGCTGCACAAGGTGGGATGACTGTTTGAAGGACTTCTGGCACACGCCACAGGGGAAGCGACGGTCAATGAAGTACTTCAGTCGCCGGAAGTAGTTCTTGTCATCCTTACCCACCTGACTGTCAGCAGCTACAGTGGATGCAGTCGGTGGTGGAGCCTGTCCACGTTTCAGGCTGCTGAAAAGATGCTGATGGCCAGAAAGATCCACTATGCCCCACTGAGGAGTGTTGTAGGCAGCAGCGGCGGCGGCGGCAGCAGCTGTGCTATCAAACAGAGGCTGCCCTGTTGCTGGTACCACTGCTGGAGTACTGTATGGAGGTTGCTGTTGTTGCTGCTGCTGTTGCGGTGGAGGCGGTGGTGGCGGTGCAGGGCCTCCTGGTTCTGCTTTCTTGACCTGGACATTGGCAGATGAAACAGATGCAGTAGAAGAGGAAGATGGTCCCTCAGCTTTGGGCTTGGATGTGCCTACAGCAGCAGGGACACGGTCAAAGTGGGCAGGGGGAGCAGCAGCCGGTGGCTGGGTATAGTCATACTGTGGTTGTGGGCAGGGGAGGGCAGCAACCGCTTTGGCATGCTCATGGTTGTAGGCCTCCATGGGTTCAAAGCGTTGGTGGTTCAGGAACTCCAAGAAATCAAAGGGGTAGCTCTGGAAATGCACACCCTCATCGCTTGCTGCATTGGCTTCCATCTCCGCCCGGGAGGGGGCACTGCCTAGAGAAAGGGGAGAAATGGGATAGAAATGTATACACCACACATGTCAAGGACAATAGTACTCTCCAGTAGAGTTGGCACCTGTCTTTTTTAAAAATACTTCCAGCAAACAGACAATGAACAAGTAGGAAAAGAACTTTGCTATTTGAAAAAAAAAGATACCAATCATTGCCATTCTCTTAAGTGTCTATTCCCAGAAACAAGTCTTAATTGTATGCAACACTGAGACAAGAATCAGCTTACCAAATGGCCACCACCACACCCATCTATTTGTGTACACACAATTCAACAGTATCCATAAACTGGGGAGCTTAATATTAATTTAAAGGAACAAATGAACTAAAAACATGGCAAACAAACTTAAGATGATTTGGTTGGAAAAAAATATTCCCCCTCTCCTCACAAGGTCATAGGAAGTAGCTTTATGCTAGATCAGCCCAGTATGTTCTACTCAGAGATGCATCATCTCTCTAATTCTAAAAATAAAAGGAAAGCTGTGCTGGGATCAGATCAAAAGCCTATCTAGGCAGCATTCTGTTTCCAAGATGACCAATTAATATCTTTGAAAAGAGGCATGAAAGACATGAGTGCAACACCGTCTTGCTCATACTTCCCAGCATATTAAAATGCACAGTCATTGTGGCTAGCTGACTACCTTATCTTTCATTAATTTATCTGACCTCTACTTACAACTGACTGGGTTGGTAGCTATCACAATGTCTTCTCCTACAGATGCAGTGCTAGGGAGGAGTCATAGACATTCTATACTGTTCGATAACTAATACATCTCCATCACATTCCGTGAAGATTTGTGTCATTCAAAGAGCACAGGTTAAAAACACACATTATGAATCACATATCTTATGTACAATTTTGACACCAGGCTGATTTCAGGGAGTTCACAAGCCCATGCAAGACACTTTACACAGTTGCTCTGTATCTTACCATTTGTTCCTATAAAATAACAGATATTATAAGGCAGCACTCCTTGTAGGACATTACTGTTCAGGAATATAGGTTAATGTATACTGAAAAGGCCAAAAGCCAATAGGCTGCTGGACATAAATAAATACAGAATTCTTCACTTCAACTCCCTGCTCTCCCACAAAACTTGCAATGGTGGAGCCATAGCTCTCCGGTAATCTAAGTTACATTATAGGGTAAGAGCAAAGCTTGAAAGGAAGGCATTACATCCCACAGTAACAAAGTAGAACTGATCAGGAAAAGGCTGCATGGTCGTGGAAACAATACAAATACAGGAACAGGTGATACCTTTAATCGACCAATAAGGATATACTGTAAAACAAAAAACAAACAGCGAACTTTTGATGATAAATCATCTTCTTCAATCAAGGCTGTGCATCAAGTTCTTGTGGGTAGTTCCAACTAATATGCTGCTAATAATGTCTCAAATACATTTGGCTGATGATGTTGAAGCCAGGTTCGCTTCTTAGATGGAAAGAGCTGCAACATGCATGTTGTTTTCAAGCTTCTCCTCAGCTAGCAGTTTGAAATGTGTGGCCCATCTCTGTTTTAAGAGACAGGCAATCTTGGGGGGTGGGGCTCCTTCCCCCTTTTTGAAACAAAAAGGCAGAGAAGGGGGAGTGGGAGCTGCACTGGAAACAAAGATGGAACAATGCCCAACTGGAGATATATAAAACAAACACCAGTGCAGTACCTGAATTCTGGGAGGGACATCTTGATTGAAGATGATTTATCATCAAAAGCTCGCTACTTTTTGTTTTATATTTTTATTGGTTCATTAAAAGTATCACTTGTTCCTGTAAAGTAGAAGTGAGTTATTTTGGAACCTGAAATGACAATAGCTGTAATTCATTACTTTTTTCAATGTAATAAAAGCACATTTCTATTACTCATTGCTTCTCGGGGCAGTAGGGCAAGGAGGGGTGTTCTATACAAAGGCATTTTGTTATACTTGTTCAAATACAACAAAACATACCCATCCTGCATTCCATGTGCCTAGTATCATTTAAAAGGGGTTCCCTTGACTGGCAGCACAGTATCAGCACGCTTAGGTTCTGTGGCTTAGGCAGGCATTTTACTAGAGAGTATGTGCCCTGTGCCAGCTAAAGTCTATTTGATTTCTCATTTAAAAGGCCAAGATGGAATTCACTGTTGGGATATGTGGAATCAACAAAGCCTATAAAATATTTCATACTGCCCTCTAGAATCTATGTCTGCCAGACTGTAACCTAGTAGTACATTAGCAGGATTGATAAGCAAGGCTGTCCCATTTCAGATTTTCAAAGTATCTGTTATATAAGAGGTGTACTTCCTCTGAATATGGATAATTTTTAATTCTTGATGGTTATCTGGTTGAATATACCAGGAAAGTACCAGATGGAGGACAGAGTCCTATGGCAGTTCAGTTTGTCTACTAAACTATCACTCACAAGAATGCCTGTCTACAGAATTTCCTCCAACTTGGCATTTGACGTGGCAGGCTTCAAATCTCATCCCATCTCCAGGACTGCGGGTGTGGAGTGCTGTAATTCTAGGCATTTCAGAAGTGCCAAGGAAAGCTTTGCCTTTTAATGTAAGTATTTTTTTAAAAAAAGAATTTTAAGCAACAAACATAATTGGCCACATGATGGAACCAGTGAGCATTTCATGTATGTTCCTAAAGCTGCCCCAGGAACAAGGAAGGGAAGTATGTTACTGTACTTTCTCAGACATGTTAATAGTATACTGTAATGACCTCTTGCTAAGCCAGTGTAGTGGGTAAAGAAGTGAGTAACTGTTAAAAAGTAAAATTCTGAACTCTTGTTGAGAGTCAGTAATTGTGTAGTAGAGTGTTGGGCTAAGTCCCAGGAGATGTGGGTTCAAATCCCCGCTTGGCCATTGAAACTATATGGTAAATCATGCCTTCAACATCTCACATACCTCACCATAAATCAGAAGCAACCTGATGGCACACAACAGTAACATCTTATACAGTATCTATAATAGGAGACAGACCCATGCATTCCATTCAAAACTTGCTGGAACAAAAGGCAAAATTCTTGTGTGTGGATGAGAAGCCCATCTTGAGGAAGTGGGTTTCTCATCTCTGCTGGTTCTGTTATTTCCTGGTTGTCCTAATCTTAGCAAGAACTGTGTATACTTTACGAAAATCACAATTACTGTGCAGTCGCCAATATTCTTTACTCAGAAATTCTAAATGCTGCAAGTTGTATCAATTATGTAAATCACTCCAGGTGTATATATTTCAGTTTGCCTAATGGCATTTTGTTTTGTTTAATCATTGGAAAAAGCAAGGGCAGAATCCTGAAGCTCCCATAGTTACTTAACTTCTTGACAGAAGCCCCCCTTTGACCACTTACATATCTTCACTTTCATAAACTGTGGCCCAGTTCCTAAGGTGAATGCAGTCTATTAAAGCTTAGGTCAAATTATTAGCCTTCAAGGTTCCACAAGACTTTTTTTCCTTGTTTCTGTGTTCAGAAGAGATATATCTCCACATCTCAGACACTGAAATGAAACAAAAGAAGGTGTCTTATCTCCCAGTATACTTTCTGTGCAGCTTACAGATAGCAGAGGGTTATTGGTAGAAGGGAAGTATTGGTTTAACTAAAACTCTGGTTTAGCTAGGCAACTGTTCACTGTTCATACTAAGGAGGCATACCTTCCAAACAATTTCAAGGTTAACAAAGCACAGAAATATTATACGTGTCCCTTGTCTCCTCCCAAAAGCTTCCCTCCACCATTTCTTCAAATGCATGGAACACAGTAATCAAGCCACAGACTTACATACACATTGGTTGTGGTCATGGGAGTGAAATACAATGAAACAAGATGACAACTGTATAACGAACAGTTATACAAATAAACTTTTTAAAGGCATGGTTATATGTTCTTCTTTCTTTATTAAATGAAAGCCAGGATGCACTGAGATATTCACAGTAGTTCTGCTGCTATGGAGTATTGCTTTAGAAACACCTAGACCTCCTACCAGTAGTACTGGCATCTTAATCAGTACCAACAATATGCAAATAGGAATATTTTTCAGAAGGCATATTGCCCGTGACAGTTTGGCTTCCACTCATGGTAATGTGAAGGGTAATAATAAAAACTGACAAAGCAAGGTTTTTTTTGGGGTGGGGGTGGGAACTCCAGCTCCCAGAATCCCCCATAAGGAGCAAAACTACTTAAACTAGAAATGAGGGACTGTTGGCTGTCCCACTGTTGTTGGACAATTACAACCAGCATGACTGAGCACTGGGGTTGATGAGAGATGTAGTCCAACAGCAGCCAGAGGACTGGGTACCCCAATTGTACTTTGTTTCTATTTAGTGAGAGGAACATTTCCCCTCACTTATATTCCCGCTGCTTTTCTTCAAAGCATACACAGATGATGGCATGATTCCACAGGAGATGACTGACTGGATCCAGATCTCTTTAACTTCAGCAAGGCTGCTGCATCATGAATTTAGATCACAGCATCTTTATATTTCCTGACAAAACTTTTGTGAAAGGCAATTATAGAAAAATATCATCAAAAGTGTGTTTAACTGCATGGAACATTGTGTTTTACCCAAGTGTGGCCATCACATGCCTGCCATATAAAAAAGCCAAAGGCAAATCCACCAAAATACAGCTTGCTGCATAGCTGGGACTATCTAGAGAGCAGACTGATGGAGATGTAGATTACCATTTCATCAAGTGGTACCTTACAACAGTATCGATGTGCATTGGAAGGGGTGCCCTGATGCTCTGCAACATCTACCCACAACCAAAAAGCATTTTAGCAATTCCTCCATATTTCTGATTCAGCAAAGATGCGTCATACAATTCTTCTCATCATGTGGGTGGACACTACAAATGACTGCATGCTCACTGTAATTAAGACAGTACAGTATTTGTTAAGCTGTCATCAGCTGTGCTCCTTTCTGCTAATGCTGAAGTCACAATGGGAGACAGAGAAGCAGGCAGTCTCTCAGTGTTTGTGTTTTACATGCATACATGCAAGTAGATGTCATAGCCTGCACTAGAATGATCAAACGTATCACCCTATGTACATACTGTGGGATGCAGTTTAACTATAGACTTCTAGTATATATTCACATGATAATCACATGTGAAAATTTGCATGTATCACTGACACTAAAGTTCTTTCCACATGGGGAAAAACTAATTTTTGATGGAACCTGGGAGCCTCTATTAGAAAGTATAATCTTATGCAGAAAGGAAGAGTGTGTGGCCTGGTGAAGACTGAAGATCAAAATATTCTTCATGGTCTTTCATCTCCTTTGTGGAAGTCAATTTTAAAACTTATTCTGCATTAATTCTGAGTTTGTGGGGACTACAGCTATTTACTTTAATCTTTTAAGCATTAGTGATACATATATACAATTTCCAAACCATTATCCTGCCTACCCAATCCCTATTTCACACAAAACCAAGACAAAACGCTGTACTATAAAATATGTTATCAGCAGGTACTTCCACCCAAGCCCACAGAGTGGCCAAGCCACCCTAGATTTAACTGGCTCCAAGATTTTCAGGGAAGGGTGAAACTACTGCAGCACAGAATAATGGAAGCCAGGTTCTCTGAAAAGGATGGACTCTTCTACTATAGATACTTTTACTTAATGTGCACAACGTGCCAGGAGCTGCACTGGGAACAAAGACGGGCCAATGCCTAACTGGAGCTATATAAAATTAATGCCAGTGAAGTACTTGAAGAAGAATTAACATCTACATTAGATGGGCCTGATGATGACATAAGGTCAGGAATGGCAGAATAGGAGAGCAAAGGCATCAATCAGGTGGTCATGATAGCACTCATGAGTATAAAACAGGATAGCGTAAGAGGCCTTAATTAGTCTGAGAAGTAGAGGGATTATGTTGATAGTTAGGATACAATATTAGAATAAGGAACCAATGAGAACATTTTTGAAGAAGGGAAAAGTCAGAACTAGGGCTCATCCAGGTGTAGAAAACAGTTGGTTGTATTAATTCACATGAAAGGAATCTTTGGTTCTTTCCCCCCAACTCACTGCTTTCCTCTGAAAGTTGTCAGCCCAGTGACATGCTTCACTGCTCATTTCTCTATCTGAAAAAAACAAGGGATTTCTCTCTTCCTCATGGGCAGACTACTCTAACTAACTCTACACAAACGGGATTTCTCTCTTCCTCATGGGCAGACTAACTCTACACAAAAGGGTACTTTAATGGCAAAAGATATCCCGCCTGCCTTTTGTTTCTGCAACATGCATTTTCCAATTCGGAATCTATTAGCCAATTCTCTACCTAGAGGGCAATTTGGAGATGCGCAATTCAGACAGCACTGTTGTGTTGCAAGGACAGAGACACCTCAGAATTTTGCAGGGGACAAGGAAGGATGATGAAAAATGATTTGGTTAGAGGTATTCTTCTTTGAAAACTACACCCTGCATGAAAAAAATATATATCAGGAAGACTACTGCAGCTAGCATGTAGAAGATGTTCACCGAAGACTCAGTAATAAAACAAAAGATAGAACAATATTTCCAATAGTCAAGACTACAGCACTTTGATCAATTTTGTTTCTGCTCCCCTTGCAAGTAAAATAACTGAAGAAGCCAAAATACAATGCATGCACAATAACACTTCCTTAAATCCTTTTGGACACAAGATGTTGCACTATTGGATCAAAAATCAAACAATGTCTTCTCTGTAAGTATTTTAATAAAAATTTAACATCAGGTCAGGAAGTGGTGCGGTCAGGAAATATGGATGTTCTGCATACAGAAAAATTATATATACAGGACCTCCTGAAAGATGAGACAAACACATGAGGCCTTTCCCAATCAATGATCAGGGCAGTAGGGAGATGCAGGCTAAAAACAAAAGGCAGTAGATAGCAAGAGTGCCTTATGGGGCTGTCGAGAAGGAAAGACTACTACCATCTGTTAGTGCAGGCAGAACCACATCTGACAGGGAAGATGGATGTTCAGTGGAATTTGACTGAAAATACTTTGTGATAACATCTCAAGCGTTTCAGGAAGATATGGAAAAGGAAAGCTCATAGATCAGTGGTACAGCTTATGCTTTGAATAGAAAAAAAATCCAGGTTCAAAGACTCGCAGTCCTTAGCTGGACTCAAAAAGCCTAGGGCCAATGGTCCAATGCAGCCTAAATGTATTGGACCATTGGCCTGGAAATTAACAAAGCACAGTGAAAGAAAACCTGTAAGAGGGTGGGGACAGGAGTTGGAACAGGGATTTGCAAAAGATGGCAGGGCCTCAAGTTAAAAAAAAACCAGAGCAGCTTAGCTTTATGTCTTGGTATGTTTAGGATATTATATAGACTAGGCTATGGAATTAAACTGTGTATCTAAGAGGTCCAAGAGCAGTCTACAACAGTGAAATGGTGTGGCAGAGACAGTAGTTACTCCGCTACCAAGAGGCAGAGGATACACAGGCTAACGGTTTTGGTCAAGAGCGATGCGTGCCTAAAATATAAGGTTAAAATGAAGATAAATCAATACACGGGGGTGATAATACAAGCTTAGGGGAGGATATAAAGGTGAAATAGCGGACGGCAGTAATCGAGGGAAATGACACGATTCAGGCTTCTGGTTTGGGCCAGATGTTAGGATATGAACGGAGAGAAGAGGGAGGGAAAGAAGTCGTGCATCATAACTGGCGAGATAAGGCGATGGGCGATAGGAAAAAGCAGGGGCGGCTATTCGAGAGGAGGGACGGAAGTTAGCAAACAAGTGGGGGGTGAGGGTGGAGGGGGGCTCA